CATCAAACATGTTACAAATTATGTCAAAGCCTTTTTAATTTTTCTAGTACAAGAAAAGAGGTATTTGAACTACATCGTCCATCACTTTTATCGGAATGTGGAATATTTTCCATAAAGGCCCGAGATGGGAAACCTGTCGTGCGCTTTTCTGTGCAGATGCGAAGATGAGAGTGGCGGGCATCGTAAATCGCGATGGCTGCTTCTAGGTGAATGGGGTATATGACAGCATTGGTAGGAGAATAGCGCAAGGGAAAGTCATGACAGAAAACAATCTTGATGGCATAAGCCACTTGCATTCAGTCTTCCGTTAGCCAAGGAATTTTGTTTTTCGAATGAAATAATTTTCTTACAAAAGAAGATTGCTTCTACTTGTAAAAACTATTAACTGTAACTATTAACTCATAGATTTATTAGTTCACTCAAGCAATATTAGCAATACTCGAATCTTTTTATAAGATTGTAACTCCAATATTATTGGACAGAAGAATACTCAGTCTTATTATATACATACATACAATATACAGTACACATATACATAGATATTACATTATTTATAATATTATCTAATTAATCGCAACTCTGTAAGTACATGCATTGAGACTTACAATTCGTTGATGAAGATGCAATAGATGCAATAGATGAAGTTCTCTTTAGTATCTGAAATCATAATTAATATTAGCAATTAGTGACTTGTATCTAAATTACAATATAATATATTGCTCATTTGCTATGACAACATAAATTAAAAATTATCATTTTTTGCTTGTTGACAAAAATGTAAAGTGAAAATATAAAGAAGAAAAGAAAAAAATCCAAAATTAAAAGAACATATTTTTATTTCTCAATTAGGTTGAATCAAAATTGCATGACTTATGTCTATCAACAAATGTATATACAAATATATATACACAGTTGGCAATCGAAAATGACTATAATTATAGTTATTATTATCATAAAAATGATTGAAATTGCTATAATTTATAGTCTTTTTTGAGATAGCCATTTTTATAGTAATAATAACTATAATTACAATAATTTTCGGTTGCCAATCATATATATTCGTTGATAAAATTATACAATAATTATTATTACTAACATTGTAGCAATATATATAACATATATAATTATATATAATTATATGTAGTAACGTATGTATAATCATATGTAGTTACAAGTATCAAAAATTTTTTAGTGAGACACTTGTTTTGAAACTTGAAAATTTTACTCATTATAAATACGTAATGATCGAAGTAACGAATGGTTCCCTTGTACAGAAATTCTCATGCCGATACTCCCAATGATACTTACAAATATGGTAATCGGTCAAATCGAGAGCGATAAATCAGCCCGCGACAAATAGGAACATTCTTATGGCGATACTTTCTTTATGTTAATTCTCCAAGTAATTCGCCGTGATCTGCCGTTCTTTACTGACAGAAAGTGATCGTAGACAAAACTCACTATGGGGAAATATTGAGACAAGACGATAGGAGGTGACGTGGGAGAACGGGTATAGAAGAATGCGTAATTGTTTTGAAAGAGATCGAGCTTCGTTGTCGTCATCGCCGCCGCCGCCGCCGCCGCCGCCGCCACCACCGTCATCATCGTCTTTCGTGTGGGATGTGTGAAAGGCGGTCCAGCCTGCTGACACCGAGTACAAACGACGAGGACAGGTTTCGTTTCTTTCGCCGTCCACATATCCGCCATTCCAACCTCTCTTTTAACGCGATCCCGGCGCATGTACGAACGTAGAAGTTGCCGGTCCATAATGGATGATTGAACGAGCAATACACGTAATTTTCAATTTATCTCGAAGCTAAAGCCAACGATGATTAATCAGTAAATATACGTACTGGGAAACAGAACGATAGGTACACCTGACAGAAAAAAATCTTGTTTAATACATAGAAAAATTGAAATTTTCTATGAAACATATTATATGATTTATAGAAAAAGGCAATATGCTTATTTATTTTAGCTTCTAATGAAATAATTCAAGCTTTTGCATTTTTTGTTATTATAAATGTATAATAAAACGGATTTTTCTTATTAAAGTTAAAGTATTCCAATGAAAATTTCATTCTTGGAAACCTTATAAAATCCTTCATGTTCACACATGAAAACGGAACAGATAGATTTTCTCATTCATAATTCTTTTACATTCTTCTTTTGAGATGCGAGAAAATTGAGAAATCTTTCGTCAAATTACATTCAGTTTCACCGAAATCGCAGAGATATTCTAGAAGGAATTTTTACGATGCAAACATATCCTCCGTCATTGTATTCGCTACGTCACGTCGCACCATTCGAAATTTTGAAACAAGATGTATCCATTTGCGAGAGGCAGTCGAGTGGAGGCATCAACAATAGGGATTATCAGCATTGGCTGAGTCGACTTCACGTTGATATTGGTCTCTCGAGCCCCGACATATTGTAATCACGCGGATATATTGTGCTCGTGCAATGCACGCTCGTCTCCCAGCATCTCTCTCCTCGTGCTACACTTTCCACCAACCCACTCGGGCATCCTCTTTCGGTCTCTTTCTTCGCGTTCGTCCATTTCCCCCAGTCTCTATTCTCGGCACGATCAATGCTCTCCTATCCTCTACCGATAACTCGATAATATTACACGCGAAAACCGCTTCCGACGTGCTCGCCCAGTCAGCGAGCCACTTGTGCGAGCAAATAACCAGTTATCGGAAAACCGATTTTATTTTCGAGAAGGAGCGGTGGTCCTAATTTTTTTTTCTTCTTCATGCTACTCGAATCTCCTCCTCGTTTCATCTCTCGCTCCTTCTTTCTCTATTTTTTCTTTTAGTTTTCCTGTACACGTACAGCGGAGGACAAAGATTAGCGCGATTAAGCTTGAACAATGCAATTCTCTTTCTAAAAGCAAAATTGCATGATGTCTTTTTTGCCAATTCTTTCATTTCATAGCCATTCCCGAATACAGAGAAATAAAAATTATTTGTATATTTCTTAACTAATTTCGCGCAATATAGTTTACATCTTTTTAGTATTTCTGTAATTAAAATTAAATTTTTGTAGTAATTTCTAAAAAAATTATTATGTATGTTTAGTGATTATATACGTTAAAAAAAAAGATGTAGCAACAGTATTATTTTAATTGAAACTTCTTGTTGATTTAACAATATTAATGAGACAATAAAATTTTATTAAAACAAGACCATCTATTTTATTAATATAATGTTATTAAATTATCAAAATTATCTTCATTTAAAATAATGCTGTTGATATACAACATTATTTTTTTGAATATATATTTTAATATATTATAAAATGTATACTAAATACAAATCGGACAAATTATTAGTAATATTTTTAATTTTTCTAGCGCAAGAAACACTGACATTAATTTAAACCGTATCATCTATCAATTATTGGAATGCGAAATATTTTCGCATAAAAACGCATCATATAAATGAATACAGAAAAATACAAGAAAATATAATTTGAAGAAATGTTTATATTTATCTAGAAATTAATGAGCATTATATTTATTATTTAGTTACTTTATTTTCATAAATATATTGTATGTATTTTAGGTTCTGAAAGAATCGATGATAGAGAGAAACGAGCAGCTTTCCGAATTGGAGAATCTTTTCAGCTATTTAGAAGAACATCGTTCTTTAAAGGGTTACAACGCTTTGAAGACATCACGGTGAGTTTGCATGAAATTTTTTATAAAATACAAAAAACTTAATCCATTAGCGATCTTGAAAATGTTTAACAATTAACGATATCATATCAAAGAAACTTAGCCATATAAAGAAAAACGTAATTAAACATGTAATGAAAAGAAATATAGTTAAAACAATCAGTTTCTCTACATAAATAAAATTTAATTTTAGATCGGTATGTGCATAATTGATATATAATTTATTTTTTTATTGTATAATAATGGTATAATATTGTATTTAATTGATATATAATTTATTACAAAAATTAATTTTTACAGTCAAATTAATTTGTTTCAAATATTTGTTTTATATTTTAAAAAGTAAAGGTTATAACGCTTTTTGTGTTAATCTATATTTCTTATCGTAAAGATACATATACGTGTGTACTTTGGAAAAATGAACGTAGTTATCCGGGATCAAGACATCAACGACATAGAAAGGAAAAAGAATCAATTGTACCAATTGAAAACTGATTACGTCGATATATCGACGACCGAGATTTAACGCGGCAATGCAATCTTTCTTTGTCGTCCTTACTTTGTACTAGGACCTTTGCACCTCTCCATCTTCACAACGCATCCTGAATCAATCCTTTCTCTTTCGATACCGGATCTACTATGGCTTTCGCGACAAAACTACCCAAGCGTTTGAACAGTTTGCTGCAAGATTGCAAGATTTCAAACCTTTTCCACCGCATCAGTCTTTTTGATACGTTATTGCTTATTGCTTTCATAATCTTTAAATTTATGATGTAACTTAATGCTACATCTCTCTACTTGAGTACCTTAGTATTAATAATATTAAAAATAGATAGTCTATAAAGATTAAAATTAAAGAAATAGAATGAATGATATTTTTAAATTTTAAATTGATTGACCATTCATAAATTCCATCATTTGAAAAATTATTCTTCAACGACGATATTTAGAAACTTAATATACAAGGAATAAAAATTCAGATGAAAATTCAAGATCTAACATCGCTGATATTATTATCTTCTGTCCAATTAATATTAATTAATTTCACACATGTCTGGCTCATATCTCGGATAAGATATTATGAACTTATTTCCGGCAATGGTATAATATCAGACATTATGCGTGAAATGCAATTGATCTGGAGATTGAAAACATATTTAAGCATATCTGACATTTACAAAATATAGAATATATAGATCATTGATAAATAAGTTATTAACGGTAAAACATTTCTAAAAGATTGCGATCTAAATCGTATGATTCTTATCATACCAATTATAATGTATCGCAGTCTCATGTTTCTAC